CTTACTCATCTCCATTGTTTCTTCAATCTTCACCTTACACGGTGTACGATCCATTAGGTTCCTTTTAGCGAGGCAGTGGGCGATTAAAACCATTTTACATCGATTGTGAATTGAAACTTACTTTCAATTCTCCCTTTAGTGATTACACACATTTAGGGCTTCCACAAACCATGAGTGACACCTAGCAGCATATCATGGTTACCCAAGCTAATCAGAAGAGGTGGAGAACCTATTCAGTTTAGGATTACAAATGCAATACGGTCTTTCTCTAATCTAATACTCTTGACCACATTGTTTGGTTTGATAGTTTATTTATTCATGTCTACTATCCAATGTGATTCGTGTGCTTATATGATTACCTTGAATGTGATTTGGAACATTTTCCTAAATCTCATTCATACTCTGGTCAGAGGTTCTAAATCATATCATAAAGTATTCTCCCTCAAACTGTTTGAAGGTTAGAGATCCCTTGTTGCGCATTCACTTGCCTCCATGACTAAGTGGCTTAACCCCAACGATGCTGTGGACACGCCGATGGGGTGACTTTGACATAATCAAAGATCAAGGACTTAACCACAAGACAACTGTGATGCCTCAGGTCAAATGACTACTTTGCATTATCCCAACCATGAGTTCTCATGTGACATGAATATGAGAACTCTTCGTTGATCGTGTTCAGTGAACTCATTCTCTATTGAGCACCTACGTACTTGTCTTGATGTCACACACACCAATGACTCGAGACTAGTCACTCTCCCTGAGAGAAGACACAGCACGTACTGATCTTAACGGACTGTCAATGCCCAATTGGCAATCCTATGATCAGGAACGTTTAGGATGTGTCTACGAAAGAATGGTCTCATGAATCTAACTTCTTTAGATTGCATTCTCCCAATCACATTTTCCTTGGACTTTATCGTTTAAGCATATAACATTTATATGAGACGGCTCAAACAATAATCTTTGCCCTTTATAGTTAAACTAGATTAGTTTAACATGTGAAATGTCCGTAAAGTATCATCATATGATTGGTTTTAGGGCACATTTCCAACAATTTATATATATAAAGCATCACATACCGATTCATACTTGAATTATAAACTTTATACATGGCATTTATGGCATACTATCATTTAAACACATATTTCTGGGAAAATATCAAGTATATAATATATATTGAAAATCAAAAGCCCACTCACTTGTAAGTCGAAGGGTCGTAGCCCTCGAGTCGCCTTGGATACGCTCGTCCTCGGGATAAGTCTCACCTATATGCAAATTAACTATAAAAACGTTATTTTAAAGCACATAGGCAAAACTAGCTAATAACTTCTCATACATAACTCAAAATGGGTATATGAATATACCACAGTGACTTACACAACCTCAGGATCATCCCCAAATTTTCAGATTAATTTTTGGACCCCTCACGCGCCACCACGCGCCGGTGAGTGCACGGCAAGACGCGCGGCCACGCGTTAGGAATATTCCCTAGAATATTCTGTTAAAACCCAACGGTAACCGTTAACCCTAACTGACGGCGTTAGCATAGTCCATCAAAAGTAACGGAATATTCTCCCTTCTTTTCCGGTGAGTCGCCGGTCGCCGGTGACTTCGTCGATTTCTGGGTAAAACTTTAAAACCACTATTCTCCTTCGTTTCTTCACCAATTTTCATGAAATTGGTACCAAAATGAAGCTAATAACATGTAGAATAACGTTATACAAGTTTCAAGGCTTAAATTCTACTAGATTTTCCCCGAGAAAGGTTGATAGCTCGGCTTACTTAGAAACACGTTGATCTCAAACCTCCGACGTCCAAATCCTTCCAACGAAGTACCCCAAGACTCGTGAAGACCTTCTTAAGCTTCCTATGTCCTTAGAATTCCCTGAAACACAAGATTTTACGTGTGCATGAACAGTGCACAAAATCGGGGTTAAGGTTTCTTAGGTTTTCGAAGCATTCACGTCCAAACAAGGGTACCAATAGACTCAGGAGGTTACAATGAGGAAGAACCTTACCTTTAAAGCTTCGATCCGTGCCTGAAATGGGGAGTTCGAAACTAGTCCGTATGAAGAAGGGAAAGAGAGAGAGAGTCTGAGAAAGATGAGAGGGTACATGAGAGAAGAAATGGAGTGAGTGTGGTGTATGTGTGGTCCACGTAGGTCACTAATCCAAAACCACAAATAACCTCTAAGTCTCAATATGACACACACACACTACAATCTCAATGTCTAAAGATAAAACCGTTCTTTTACATCCTCGAGAATAAAATAATGCACATTTCTGGGAAGGGCTGTGACACCTGGACCTTCATTGGAGATGAATTTTTTTTTCTTCTCATTTCGGTCTATAAAAGAGACCATAGCCCTATGCCCAGATCATTGGAGATGGCCTAATGATGAGATGGGTTTATGTGTGTTTAGGTGTGGTGGTGGGATAATAAGATGGCTTTGGTAGAGTAGATAAAGCGATAGGAAGTTGAGATACGTTACTTTAGTCTAAAGTAAGAGGGGAAATCACACAATTCATATGAACAGTGTTTTGTAAGACATTTCAGTTTATTTACAAGACTGCCACTCGGATGCTTTTAGCCAACTTTCTCTTTATTTACAAAACTGCCACTTAGGCTTAAGACACGATTTTCAGCCGCTGCATCTTAGGCTTTACTCGGGGAGAGAGAGGGGAGGGGGACATAACGGCTGACAAATTGGAGAGAGGCGATCGGTCCCATTTTTCACTCGGAGACAGCTGGGTGTGGCTACGGTAAAAGGAGATGAGGAGGACAGAGGGGCTGGAGAGGATGGGGACAGTGGCATTACGACGGTTACTTGGGCTGCGACCCCCGACTCTCCTCCCAACGATTCGACTCTTTCATCGACTCTAAGTCGCTCAAGGACTCTGTTGCCGATTCCCCAATCTTCTACTCAACCGGCGTCGAAGGCCTTCTCTCCTCCGTCGATCTACGCCGAATCGAACAGCGAGGGCTTTAATGGAGGGTTTGGCGGGTCTGACAATCCAATTTCGCCCACTCCGTCAGAGATGTTACCTGAGGAGGGCTTCGCTCTCAGAGAATGAAGGAGGTAGGGTCTCTAAATCCTTTTCACCCAGCTGATCGATTATTCCATTCGGTTCTCTTCTTCACTGCACGAAGTTGCCAGAAAATTAAGTCCAAATCGTGATGCATAATTTACTTTCATGTAGAATCATGTTATACAAGTTTCAAGGCTTAAATTTTACTAGATTTTCCCCGAGAAAGGTCGATAGCTCGGCCTACTTAGAAACACGTCGATCTCAATCCTCCAACGTCCAAATCCTTCCAACGAAGTACCCCGAAACTCGTGAGGACCTCCTTAAGCTTCCTATGTCCTTAGAATTCCCTGAAACATAAGGTTTTACGTGTGCATGAACAGTGCACAAAATCGGGGTTAGGGTTTCTTAGGTTTTCGAAGCATTCACTTCCAAACAATGGTACCAATAGACTCAGGAGGTTACAATGAGCAAGAACCTTACCTTTAAAGCTTCGATCCGTGCTTGAAATGGGAAGTTTGAAACTGGTCCGTATGAAGAAAGGAAAGAGAGAGAGAGTTTGAGAAAGATGAGAGAGTACATGAGAAAAGAAAGGGAGTGTGTGTGGTGTATGTGTGGTCCACGTAGGTCACTAATCCAAAACCATAAATAACCTCTAAGTTTCAATATGACACACACATACACTACAATCTCAACGTCTAAAGATAAAACCGTTCTTTCACGTCCTCGAGAATAAAATAATGCACATTTTTGGGAAGGGCTGTGACACCTGGACCTTCATTGGAGATGAATTTTTTTTTCTTCTCATTTCGGTCTATAAAAGAGCCCATAGCCCTATGCCCAGATCATTGAAGATGGCCTAATGATGAGATGGGTTTATGTGTGTTTAGGTGTGGCGGTGGGATAATAAGATGGCTTTGGTAGAGTAGATAAAGCGAGAGGAAGTTGAGATACGTTACTTTAGTCTAAAGTAGGAGGGGAAATCGCATTATTCATATGAACAGTGTTTTGTTAGACATTTCAGTTTATTTACAAGACTGCCATTCGGATGCTTTTAGCCAACTTTCTCTTTATTTACAAAACTACCACTCAGGCTTAAGACTCGATTTTCAGCCGCTGCATCTTAAGCTTTACTCAGGGAGAGAGAAGGGAGGGGGACAGAACGACTGACAAATTAGAGAGAGACGATCGGTCCCATTTTTCACTCAGAGACAGCTGGGTGTGGCTATGGTGAGAGGAGAGGAGGAGGACAGAGGGGTTGGAGAGGATGGGGACAGAGGCACTACGACGGTTACTTGGGCTACGACCCCAACTCTCCTCCCAACGATTCGACTCCTTCGTCGACTCTGAGTCGCTCAAGGACTTCGCTGCCGATTCCCCAATCTTCCACTCAACCGGCGTCAGAGGCCTTCTCTCCTCCGTCGATCTACGCCGAATCGAACGGCCAGGGCTTTGATGGAGGGTTTGGCGGGTCCGACGATCCGATTTCGCCGGCTCTGTCGGAGATGCTACCTGAGGAAGGCTTCGCTCTCAGAGAATGAAGGAGGTAGGGTTTCTAAATCCTTTTCACCCAGCTGATCGATTATTCCATCCGGCTCTCTTCTTCACTGCAAAAAGTTGCCAGAAAATTAAGTCCAAATCGTGATGCATAATTTACTTTCATTTTTTTTAATTAATTTATGAATATAGTTTCTTCATAATGAGTTTACTTCTTGAGCAGTGCAACCTTTAAAGGGAAGGGATATATTCAGACCAAAAAAGAAAAGGGAAGCGATACATCCATTCTTTTCCCTGCTATAGGTATGGACCTCTGTTAAATTTGATTTTCCTAAGCATTTTATTTTGTTTAAGGTGAAAACTATTTATGAGTCATATTTATTATGGTCATGCATGGAAAAATGTTGTAATTATTTTTCTTTCTCTCAAAATTAGTAGATTTGACGTTGTTACATGGATATATACAACATAGAAAATGAACATTTACTCTAAAAAAAATCACATAGAATTCACATGCTTTGGTATGGTTCAAAATGATATCATGTGAAGAAGTTTCATCATTGCTTTGATATCATGACTTTCGATGTAGTTAAGAGTTTATGTGCAGTTGCATTTTTCTCTATGTGCTGCAGTATGAATTCGTTGGTCATTAGCGAAGCTGCATGTTGTGGGATGCAGATAAATGAACTGCAAATGGTTACACCTTGCAGCCTGAGATATTTCATCAGGTATGGAGGACGATGTTTTTCTACGTTCAGATGCATTTTCTATGGTATGGATGGTAAGTCGGCGGTTAATGTAATCTTGTGCCTTCATTGTGTTGTATATTAACCTTATAATGAACTTTGTATTTTATTCTCTTCATATACAAGGCAATAACTCATATTCGTTAATCCACCTACTTTATTTGAGTGATAAGTTCACTCTTTTAATCTTAGCTAAAGGAAGATATAGGGTGTGGTTTTGTTAATGGCGGTGGATGATTTGGATGAAAGTATGTATCTTGGGATTTTTTTTGCTTGCTTGCAGTTGTTTAGGCCAACACTGAAGAAGTTTTTGTAGAATGAGATTCTTATCAGATTCTTATACCAAAATGTTTCTCCGTTTATGGTAGGTAATAAACGTGGTCCAACTAGTAGCTGATAAAATGTCATTGTATATATGCTTTTGTCGATTTCTGCTACAATAATGAGGGAATCTAGAGGATCGAGGCCAATTGATCTGAGGTTTGTACAACTTGATGCAAAAATTATCTTAACACACAAATTTAACCCTCTTTTATCAATTGTAGTAAAGAATGTAAGTAGGGATCGTTCTAGGCCGGAGATTATGAGGGATTGCTAAAACACTTGAAACTGACTTAAAAACGTAAAATTAAGTTTAAAACACCAAACTAGACTCAAAAGATGCAATACAAACTAAAAAGACTCAAAACTAGTTTAAAAGACTCAAAACTGCTTAAAACAATGAATTAGACTCTAAACTGACTCTAGGGATGGTTTTGGACGAAATTAGTATCTAACTTGACTCAAGACACTTAAAAACACAAATCAAAATAGATTTTGACTAATAAAACACTTTAAAGTAAAGGGGGATTTGATTTTGACGAATTTGAAAACAAAACAAACAGATTGTAAACTAAAACAGATTTTGGACGAATTTGGGTAAACTATGGATAATGGGCTAGCTAGAGGGTTCTTCTCCACACATGACACACTTGCACATAAACCAATTTTCAGTTGTTCTTTCGATAAATCATGAAACTCAACACCCCAGGTTAATTAAGTCCGCTTAAATTAACCTTCAAGTTCTCCTTAAGTTATTGAATTGGATGGGAAAGCGCATACACAATTCAAGCATTCTTCAAAAGTTCTTTACGTGAACAGCACAATAAAGATACAATCAAAGATCATTAAGCATTATGAAAACTATAAGTATTGACGAGGCATTCGTTACTATGATGAGCATGAAACTCCTGCCAAGAATTCATTTAACGCAATCGTTTATAAGCGACCTCCACTACTTGTGAATATAAGTTTGTAACTATTAGGTGAAACTCCCTTATACTCTAGCATCATATTCATGCATGCAAACTAAGTGTGCACTCTTAATAAACATACATGAATAAGTTATCAATCAAGCAGTTAAACAAATTGAATTCATAACTTATGAAATCACAACTGAAGGTAATCAATTCATATTGCAAGTATGTTCATGGCTTTGAATTCCCCCTAGCTAAGGGGGGTTTAGCTCCTCATACTCACAAAGCCAAGATAAAAAAATTTAGATATTCAAAACAAAGAATGAAAACACCTAAAAACACTCCAACAATCCAACTTGAATGGCAAGCACGTCCAAGGGTCCTCCTTCTTCTCTTTGTTGCGGCTATGCACTTATGCTCCTATCATTTTTCAATTCGCCTAAGTCCATAGATGCATAGATTGAATAAGGCATGATATTTATAGATGCACCTAAGTCTAAGATGGCCGATTCAAAATGAGTATTACCAATTACACAAGGAATGGTAAAACTTCCCGGATCCTTGCATTTAGTAGGCAGTTTACGTTGTAAAACAGCTGAGACATTTTCACTTACCTTGACAACCTCCTTGCTCGAAATTCTCTTCCTAGTTGTGCAAAGTTCTTTTAAAAATTTGGCATACTTTGGAACTTGCTTAATTGCATCCAAAAGTGGTATATTAACTTGAACTTTTCTAAACGTTTCCAAAATATCCTTTTCAGCCTCCTCCTTCTTTGATTGCATAAACCTATGAGGAAAGGGTACATTTGGAGGAACAACGTTAGAATTAATCAAAATTGGAACTTCATTACCTTTGTTGGCCGAATTGAATGGTTTAGGAGCTTTTGAGGCCTGCGGCAAAGGTCTTTCCACCCTTGTCGTGGGGGTGCTTTGCTCCTCCTCTTCAATTATCAACTCTTCAATCTCATTGGAACGTGATTTGGAAGATTGGGGATCAGATCCAACTTGTTTTCCATTTCGCAAACTCATGGCTTTGGCAGATTCGAATCCTCCCTTCGGGTTGACAACGGTTGAACTAGGCAACTTACCTTGCTCTCTGAATTGTCCTACAAACTCCGCAATATGCCCAATTTGCTTCTCCATTTGGTCCACCCTTTTGTCTTGGTTTTGCATTGCTTTGGCTTGATTTTCTTGCCCCTAAGACAAATTGGTGAGTAACTTAAGAAGTGTCTCATTATCTAAAGATCTACCTAAGGTATTTTGGGCAGGTTGTTGTGGGGCTTTTGTTGGTGCGTATTGCTTGGTATAAAAGCCTGGAGGTTACTGCCTAAAGCCTCCTTGTTATTGGGGTTGTTGGGGCTCTCTCCACCTGAAATTTGGATGGTCACTCCAACCTGGATTGTACATATTAGAATATGGATTGTTCCTTGGCTAGTTTTGGCCTTGAAATCAAATTGCATTGGCACTTTCCCATCCACCATTTTCAATCAATTACGGGCACTTTTCAGAGGCATGTCCTTGGGTAAAGTACACACCACATACACTTGGTTCTTTCATCCTCATTCCTTCGGCCATCTGAGACCCAATGGAAGTAAGATTAGCTAATTGCGATTGAATGTCAGATGTGGAACTTACCTCATTCACTTGTTGCCGTGGGGTGTCCCTTTGACCAACGCCTTCATATTGTTGAGCATTCAATGCTCGGTTAGCAATTAAGGTCTTGGCAGCTATGGATGTTTTGTCCACCAAAGCTCCTCTCGCTGAGGCGTCTAGCATTTGGCGTTCAATTGGTAGAAGCCCTTCGTAGAAATATTGAAGAAGAAGTTCCTCCTTCATCTGGTGCTGTGGACATGAAGCAACAAGGGTTTTAAAACGCTCATAGTAAGTGGGAAAGGATTCACCTTGGTTTTGCTGAATGCCACTAATCCTTTTGCGTAGTAGAATGACTCGAGAAGTTTGGAAAAACTTCTCTAAAAATGCCCGTTTCATACTCTCTCATGATGTGACAGTTCCGGGGGCTAGCTCATACAACCAATCTTTAGCCTTTTCTAAGAGAGAAAAGGGAAAAGCCTTCATTTTCATAATGCTCCCATCAACGTTCACAAGGGTCATGCTCGAGCAAACAACCTCAAACTCCTTCAAGTGTTTATTAGGATCTTCTATGGACATCCCGTGGAACTTAGGAATGTGATGCAACAAACTTGATTTCAATTCGAACTCGTCCGTCTTCCCTAGGGCAGCCATGGGGTATTGGATGCATAGGGGAGCGGCATTGTCCAATCCTGAAGTGGAAAGCTCCTTGATTGTTCGATTGTCAGCTGCCATGTTGGGATCTTCCTCTACAACCTGTGCCGTGGGCTACTCTTGCTCTTCTACTTTGTCTTCTCCAAGATTTGGTGCAGGTTGAGATGGTTGGGGTTCTTGTTGATTCCTTGCTCGTCTCAAAGTTCGTTCAAAATCGTCGTCAAAGTCACGGATGTGCTTATGAATAGGTTGAGAACTTCGGGTCATAAACCACCTAAAACAAGAAAACAAGTAAAGTCAGCAACTAGGAACAAAAACACATGAAAATAAAGAAAAAGAAATAACAAGGGATTACCAAAATTGCTAATCCCTGGCAACGGCGCCAAAAATTTGATGCAAAAATTATCTTAACACACAAATTTAACCCTCTTTTATCAATTGTAATAAAGAATGTAAGTAGGGATCATTCTAGGCCGGGGATTATGAGGGATTGTAAAAACACTAGAAACTGACTTAAAAACGTAAAATTAAGTTTAAAACACCAAACTAGACTCAAAAGATGCAATACAAACTAAAAAGACTCAAAACTAGTTTAAAAGACTCAAAACTGCTTAAAACAATGAATTAGACTCTAAACTGACTCTAGGGATGGTTTTGGACGAAATTAGGTTCTAACTTGACTCAAGACACTTAAAAACACAAATCAAAATAGATTTTGACTAATAAAACACTTTAAAGTAAAGGGGGATTTGATTTTGACGAATTTGAAAACAAAACAAATAGATTGTAAACTAAAACAGATTTTGGACGAATTTGGGTAAACTATGGATGATGGGCTAGCTAGAGGGTTCTTCTCCACACATGACACACTTGCACATAAACCAATTTTTAGTTGTTCTTTCGATAAATCATGAAACTCAACACCCCAGGTTAATTAAGTCCGCTTAAATTAACCTTCAAGTTCTCCTTAAGTTATTGAATTAGATAGGAAAGCGCATACAACAATTCAAGCATTCTTCAAAAGTCCTTTACGTGAACAGCACAATAAAGATAAAATCAAAGATCATTAAGCATTATGAAAACTATAAGTATTGACGAGGCATTCGTTACTATGATGAGCATGAAACTCCTGCCAAGAATTCATTTAACGCGATCGTTTATAAGCGACCTCCACTACTTGTGAATATAAGTTTGTAACTATTAGGTGCAACTCCCTTGTACTCTAGCATCATATTCATGCATGTAAACTAAGTGTGCACTCTTAATAAACATACACAAATAAGTTATCAATCAAGCAATTAAACAAATTGAATTCACAACTTATGAAATCACAACTGAAGGTAAACAATTCATATTGCAAGTATGTTCATGGCTTTGAATTCCCCCCTAGTTAAGTGGGGTTTAGCTCCTCATACTCACAAAGCCAAGATAAACAAATTTAGATATTGAAAACAAAGAATGAAAACACCTAAAAACGCTCCAACAATCCAACTTGAATGGCAAGCACGTCCAAGGGTGCTCCTTCTTCTCTTTGTTGCGGCACAAGGTGTGGTTTTATGGATGAGTGGTAAATTATGGTGGTGGATGGATATAGGTAGTTATGGTGAAGGGTGGATAGGTGGATTGTGTTCTCTCGGCCAAGGAATGAAAGTGTAAGTGTATGGAGTTGTGAGATGTGAATGTAGTGTCTTTTGATGGATCTTTTTCTCCCCTTCTTATGGTGAAGGGTGGATGTATTTATAGGCTAGGGAGAGGACCACCATCTAATTAAGGTGGTAGTGGTGTATGTTGTGGTAATGAGTGGATATAATGGATGTAATGGGTGAATGTTTGGTAATGAGTGGATGTAATGGGTGTAGTGGGTGAGTGTTGTGGTAATGAGTGGATGTAATGGGTGTAGTGAGTGAATGTTTGGTAATGAGTGGATGTAATGGGTGTAGTGGATGAGTGTTTGTGTGGATGTAATGGGTGTAGTGGATGAGTGTTTGGTAATGAGTGGATGTAA